AGTAACACACACTGTAGTAACACACACAGTGTAGTAACACACACTGTAGTAACACACACAGTGTAGTAACACACTGTAGTAACACACACTGTAGTAACACACAGTAGTAACACACTGTAGTAACACACACACTGTAGTAACACACACTGTGTGTGTCGTTGTGTTGCTAACACACACTGTGTGTGTCGTTGTGTTGCTAACACACACTGTGTGTGTCGTTGTGTTGCTAACACACACTGTGTGTGTCGTTGTGTTGCTAACACACACTGTGTGTGTCGTTGTGTTGCAGTCTAACTTTGCCATGGGTCGTCTGCCGTCCACGTACAGGAAGTGCTACATGTTGGACTTCGGTCTGGCCCGACAGTACACCAACACCACCGGGGAGGTCCGGCCGGTGAGTCCAGGACCTGGTTTAGACCTGGTTTAGACCCGGTTTAGACCTGGTTTAGACCCGGTTTAGATCTGGTTTAGACCTGGTTTGGACCTGGATTTGGTTTTATTGCACATTTTCTTTGACTTTAATTATTTATTCTCATAGATGTTATTTTCCACCCATTTTAGTCCTCTCAGTCCAGGTCTCTCAGTCCCGGTCTCTCAGTCCAGGCCTCTCAGTCCCGGTCTCTCAGTCCCGGTCTCTCAGTCCCGGTCTCTCAGTCCCGGTCTCTCAGTCCAGGCCTCTCAGTCCCGGTCTCTCAGTCCCGGCCTCTCAGTCCCGGTCTCTCAGTCCCGGTCTCTCAGTCCCGGTCTCTCAGTCCCGGTCTCTCAGTCCCGGTCTCTCAGTCCCGGTCTCTCAGTCCCGGTCTCTCAGTCCCGGTCTCTCAGTCCCGGTCTCTCAGTCCCGGTCTCTCAGTCCCGGTCTCTCAGTCCCGGTCTCTCAGTCCCGGTCTCTCAGTCCCGGTCTCTCAGTCCCGGTCTCTCAGTCCCTGCCTCTCAGTCCCGGTCTCTCAGTCCCGGTCTCTCAGTCCAGGTCTCTCAGTCCCGGCCTCTCAGTCCCGGTCTCTCAGTCCCGGCCTCTCAGTCCAGGCCTCTCAGTCCAGGTCTCTCAGTCCCGGTCTCTCAGTCCCAGCCTCTCAGACCTGGTTCAGTCTGGTTCAGACATGGTTCAGATCTGGTTCAGACCTGGTTCAGACATGGTTCAGATCTGGTTCAGACCTGGTTCAGACCTGGTTCAGACCTGGTTCAGACATGGTTCAGACCTGGTTCAGACATGGTTCAGACCTGGTTCAGACCTGGTTCAGACCTGGTTCAGACCTGGTTCAGACATGGTTCAGACCTGGTTCAGACCTGGTTCAGACCTGGTTCAGACCTGGTTCAGACCTGGTTCAGACCTGGTTCAGACTTGGTTCAGACCTGGTTCAGACCTGGAGAAAAGTGTGAATAAAAAAGGCGTTTATTTTGAAGGTCACTTTGAATCATTCAACATGAGTCAGACCTATTTATAGTCCTGGTTTAGACCTGGTTTAGATCTGCTTTAGACCTGCTTTACTCCTGCCCTAGACCTGATCCAGACCTGCTTTAGTCCTGCTTTAGACTTGCTTTAGACCTGCTTTAGTCCTGCTTTAGTCCTGCTTTAGACTTGCTTTAGACCTGCTTTAGACCTGCTTTAGTCCTGCTTTAGTCCTGCTTTAGTCCTGCTTTAGTCCTGCTTTAGACCTGCTTTAGTCCTGCTTTAGTCCTGCTTTAGTCCTGCTTTAGTCCTGCTTTAGACCTGCTTTAGACCTGCTTTAGTCCTGCTTTAGTCTTGGTCCGTTTCCTTTAGTGTCATGAATATTTGAGGACTGTGGTCCTGTGGGACCCTTCACTTCCTTCAGAACAGGATCCTTCGGTGTCATGTGACCTCTGAGCCTCTGGAGCCGTAGTACAAACCGGTCTGAAACCAGACCTCACTCAGACCCAGACATGTGACATCAGCACGTTTTAGAGAACCCAGACTATCACATTGTCTCCCTGGTCTCTCCCCGGTCTCTCTCCGGTCTCTCCCCGGTCTCTCCCTGGTCTCTCCCCGGTCTCTCCCTGGTCTCTCTCTGGTCTCTCTCTGGTCTCTCCCTGGTCTCTCTCTGGTCTCTCCCTGGTCTCTCTCTGGTCTCTCCCTGGTGTCTCTCTGGTCTCTCTCTCTGGTCTCTCTCTGGTCTCTCTCTGGTCTCTCTCTGGTCTCTCTCTCTGGTCTCACCCTGGTCTCTCTCTGGTCTCTCTGGTCTCTCTCTGGTCTCTCTCTCTGGTCTCACTCTGGTCTCTGGTCTCTCTCTGGTCTCTCTCTGGTCTCTCTCTGGTCTCTCTCTGGTCTCTCCCTGGTCTCTCTCTGGTCTCTCTCTGGTCTCTCTCTGGTCTCTCTCTGGTCTCTCCCTGGTCTCTCTCTGGTCTCTCCCTGGTGTCTCTCTGGTCTCTCTCTGGTCTCTCTCTGGTCTCTCTCTGGTCTCTCTCTGGTCTCACTCTGGTCTCTCTCTGGTCTCACTCTGGTCTCTCTCTGGTCTCACTCTGGTCTCTCTCTCTGGTCTCTCTCTGGTCTCTCCCTGGTCTCTCTCTGGTCTCTCCCTGGTGTCTCTCTGGTCTCTCTCTCTGGTCTCTCCCTGGTGTCTCTCTGGTCTCTCTCTCTGGTCTCTCTCTGGTCTCTCTCTCTGGTCTCTCTCTGGTCTCTCTCTGGTCTCTCTCTGGTCTCTCTCTGGTCTCTCTCTGGTCTCTCTCTGGTCTCACTCTGGTCTCACTCTGGTCTCTCTCTGGTCTCACTCTGGTCTCACTCTGGTCTCTCTCTGGTCTCTCTCTGGTCTCTCTCTGGTCTCTCTCTGGTCTCTCTCTCTGGTCTCACTCTGGTCTCTCTCTGGTCTCTCTCTGGTCTCACTCTGGTCTCTCTCTGGTCTCTCTCTGGTCTCTCTCTTGTGTTTCATGTTTTTATCATTTTGCCTTTTTGGTTCAGTTTGTGTGTTTTGTTGTTGTTTTTGTTTTCTTACAGTTGCTTTGGAGTTATGATTTTGACGTGCATGCCTCCATCGTCTCCGTGGCGACCGGGATGTGAGTGGTTTTTCTGTTACACGGTGACGCAGAGCTCGCCGCGGCCTCGGCAACACACACACGCACACACGCACACACACACACACACGCCATGAGACAGACAGCTGGTGGATAGCAATGAACATGCTGCAGCTGGATGGAGAGAGGATTTGAGTTATTGGATGAATTGTTTCAGATCCAGGTCAATCCTTACACGACAAAGATATAAACACCAGGATCATGGAGTCAAAGAGAGCTATCTCCAAACTTCATCTATGAGCACTTCCCCATTGGGCTTCAGTTAGCTAGCAGGTTAGCATTGTCCATCTGAGTACTGTCTATGGGACCCACACTGTTCCCTCTCAGGCTACAGAAGGCTCCTGATTGGTCGGTTGTTGGGGATAAAACACGGATACATGTAAAGGTCATCCAACCACCACACAACATCCTCCAAACTACACTACCCACGATGCACTGCGACTCGAGGCTGTCCCGCTGTCCTCCTCATTTGTTTATTTACGTTCCTTATTTCACGTTGTTCAGAACAAAAGCCTTGTATAGATTTAACTTTCTAAGATCGCTTCATCACTTTAACTGTTTTGTTGATTTGACCGTTTCAGCCGCGGACGGTGGCGGGCTTCAGAGGCACGGTGCGCTACGCTTCAGTCAACGCTCACAAAAACAAGGTAAACGATTCTTCTATGTTTCACCAAACTCACTCTTTGTTTGATGCAGGCACAGGCTAGGCTAAGCTAGACTAGGCAAGGCTAGGTTCTGGCCAATCACTGTCAGTTAGAACCTGTTTTTAAGTCGACTGGAACTGTTCCGTACATTCTGCAGTCTCCTCCCTGAAGGCCCCTGAAGAGCCTGTGTGATGGTAGGGTCCCTGGTGATTCTGACGGCTTTGCGGGTGAGACGGGTGGAGTACATGTCCTTAAAGGTGGAGAGGGGCTCCACAGATCTTCTCTGCTGCTCTCACGATGCGCTGGAGGCTCCTTCGGCAGGAGGCACCCAGCAAGTCTAAAGCCGTTCCACCCAGTGATGGAGCTGGTCAGGATGCTCTCTACAGTCCCTCTATACAAGTTGCCCACAACGGAGGCCGGGACTCCTGTAGCGCCTCTTGTGACGCCTCCACTGTGCTGCAGATGCGTGGGGCCCTCGGTGGGGCCCTCGGTGACCTGTCAGCGCTTCAGAAGATGATATCTCTGGATATGTAGGTCTTAAATACTGCTCAAAAAGCCTTTAGCTCAGATGCTAACTGTGTGTTTACTTTTAAAAACACATCCTCTGTTCATTGCTAGAGCTTTGGCAGTAAAAAATCCACTGAACTCCACAAAAACATGGCAAAGATGTACAACAACATCTTGCAAAACAAAGCGGATCACAAAAACTGCAAATGCAGTTTGCAGAAAAGGGTAGAAAAGGGTAGAAACGTCACCTTGTCAAGAGAGAGAGAAGCCGCAGCATGTTCATGCGCCGCCATGGTAACCGTATGTATGTATGTACTGTATGTATGTAATCAGTGATGGGAATAACGGCGTTACTAGTAACGGCATTACTAACGCCGTTACTTTTTTCAGTAACGAGTAATCTAACTAATTACTTTGACAGTAACTATAACACCGTTATAGTTACCGACATCCCGTTACTGCGCGTTACTCAAGACGCACAATGAACGTGTTGTCATGAGAGAAGGGAGGATGAGAAAACCTCTGAGCAATTATTGGCTGATGTAAAACATATTTCCTTTACAGTCCACATGTCTACAGTTGAGAGGATGGTCATAAATTGTGTTTTTGAAACAAATATGGGTCTTAATCACGCTCAACCACGGCTTGTATCATCGTGAGGTCAGCCTCAGAGGAGCGCATGTGAGCGCAGAAGTCGGCTGCATACAATTCCATCGATAAGCTCCTTGCTCTTCCTGGTTTATCTGCTAAGGACAGCAACAGGTTTGGCTAACATACATATAACACATTTTTACATAATCTAAAATGCACATAGGGTAATTTTTCAATTACTATAGGAATGATAAGAAAGAGAGGTGAAGTGTAAGACGGTTGATTTTAGAAATTGGATGCACTCGGCTGCCGCAAAACAGAGGAGTTTATGGAGGACACACGCGTTTTGTTTTACTTTTTAAAACTCATTGGACTTATTTCCAAATGGAGGATTACATATCTACGCTCAAACTATTATCTGGACTTAAACATGGAACTGGTCTGAACCGAAGTGGACTGTGCAGGTCATTTATAAGGTAAGACCCATAACTCATAGTTTTGCGTTTTGTTTGAACAAACAATGCGGGCATAAAACATATTTTGCTGTAGCCAAACAAATTGTCCACTTGATTTATATGATGTAACGCTATATGTTCATCTGATTGGACTGAAGTCAGTGCTTCACCGGTGTTTCCACATTCACAGTGGCGGGCTTTACAGCACAGAGAGAGATGAAGAGTGAACAGCACTTCAGCAGCAAAACAGCCTTTTCTAGATGGAAATATTGGCACTGTTAAAGGTAAAAATGCGCACGTCGGGTGCACATTATGTTCCAGAACAAAACGAAAAAGTAACGCAATAGTTACTTTTACTGGTAACTAGTTACTTTTATAGTGGAGTAACTCCGTTAGTAACTCAGTTACTTTTTGGGAGAAGTAACTAGTAACTATAACTAATTACTTTTTCAAAGTAACGTGCCCAACACTGTATGTAATACATACGGTACATACATACATACCGTATGTATGTATGTAATACATCCCATGGCGCAGATGCGTTTTTTCACCATTTTCTTGTGGGCGGGACCACTCGCAGCCATTTTGGATTGCTCCAGTAGAGCACATCTTTTGGCCCATTAGTTAGAACGGCGCAGATACTGACTCTGTCCGTTAATATATACAGTCTATGGTTAGAACACTTTAGTACCAGCTTGGCCTGGATCGAACCAGGACCAAGAGGGGTTGAAATGGAGCTGGCCCAGGGCTAGGCTAGGTCAATAAAAATGTGAAGCACCCACAGTGGCCTTAGCCATCTGTAAACTCCAGTCAATTCTCATTTCCTGCATGTACCGTCTGGGTCTTGGTTGAATCCCCTCCGACCAATCAGAGAGCGGGGGAGGCGGGTGTTGTAGGTCGGTGTCGGTGACCTCATGAGTTTGTGCTGAATTTGTAGGTTGGAGTTTGTCGGAGAATGCGATAGTAAAATAATCTTTTCTGGTTCTATCAAGAAATAGAAGTCGGAGCAAGAGGAGTGTTTAGCAAATGTCATTGTTGGCAAAGATGGTGTCTTCCTGACGGGCTCCGTTAGTGAGGAGAGGTCGACAGTGGAGCAAAGCAACATGGGAAAAATACACCTGTTGATCAACTGGAAGAAGGCCTGCAGGAAAGATGACTTTGGAGAGACAGTACACAGACAGAGACACATCAGGGCGTGGCAGACCAGCAGCAAGGGGAGAGGAGCACAGGTACACACAGACAGAGACACATCAGGGCGTGGCAGACCAGCAGCAAGGGGAGAGGAGCACAGGTACACACAGACAGAGACACATCAGGGCGTGGCAGACCAGCAACAAGGGGAGAGGAGCACAGGTACACACAGACAGAGACACATCAGGGCGTGGCAGACCAGCAGCAAGGGGAGAGGAGCACAGGTACACACAGACAGAGACACATCAGGGCGTGGCAGACCAGCAGCAAGGGGAGAGGAGCACAGGTACACACAGACAGAGACACATCAGGGCGTGGCAGACCAGCAACAAGGGGAGAGGAGCACAGGTACACACAGACAGAGACACATCAGGGCGTGGCAGACCAGCAGCAAGGGGAGAGGAGCACAGGTACACACACACAGAGACACATCAGGGCGTGGCAGACCAGCAACAAGGGGAGAGGAGCACAGGTACACACAGACAGAGACACATCAGGGCGTGGCAGACCAGCAGCAAGGGGAGAGGAGCACAGGTACACACACACAGAGACACATCAGGGCGTGGCAGACCAGCAACAAGGGGAGAGGAGCACAGGTACACACAGACAGAGACACATCAGGGCGTGGCAGACCAGCAACAAGGGGAGAGGAGCACAGGTACACACAGACAGAGACACATCAGGGCGTGGCAGACCAGCAACAAGGGGAGAGGAGCACAGGTACACACACACAGAGACACATCAGGGCGTGGCAGACCAGCAACAAGGGGAGAGGAGCACAGGTACACACAGACAGAGACACATCAGGGCGTGGCAGACCAGCAGCAAGGGGAGAGGAGCACAGGTACACACAGACAGAGACACATCAGGGCGTGGCAGACCAGCAGCAAGGGGAGAGGAGCACAGGTACACACAGACAGAGACACATCAGGGCGTGGCAGACCAGCAGCAAGGGGAGAGGAGCACAGGTACACACACACAGAGACACATCAGGGCGTGGCAGACCAGCAACAAGGGGAGAGGAGCACAGGTACACACACACAGAGACACATCAGGGCGTGGCACACACCAGCAACAAGGGTGGCAGAGGAGCACAGGTACACACACACAGAGACACATCAGGGCGTGGCAGACCAGCAGCAAGGGGAGAGGAGCACAGGTACACACAGACAGAGACACATCAGGGCGTGGCAGACCAGCAGCAAGGGGAGAGGAGCACAGGTACACACACACAGAGACACATCAGGGCGTGGCAGACCAGCAACAAGGGGAGAGGAGCACAGGTACACACAGACAGAGACACATCAGGGCGTGGCAGACCAGCAGCAAGGGGAGAGGAGCACAGGTACACACACACAGAGACACATCAGGGCGTGGCAGACCAGCAGCAAGGGGAGAGGAGCACAGGTACACACAGACAGAGACACATCAGGGCGTGGCAGACCAGCAACAAGGGGAGAGGAGCACAGGTACACACAGACAGAGACACATCAGGGCGTGGCAGACCAGCAGCAAGGGGAGAGGAGCACAGGTACACACACACAGAGACACATCAGGGCGTGGCAGACCAGCAGCAAGGGGAGAGGAGCACAGGTACACACAGACAGAGACACATCAGGGCGTGGCAGACCAGCAGCAAGGGGAGAGGAGCACAGGTACACACAGACAGAGACACATCAGGGCGTGGCAGACCAGCAACAAGGGGAGAGGAGCACAGGTACACACAGACAGAGACACATCAGGGCGTGGCAGACCAGCAGCAAGGGGAGAGGAGCACAGGTACACACACACAGAGACACATCAGGGCGTGGCAGACCAGCAACAAGGGGAGAGGAGCACAGGTACACACAGACAGAGACACATCAGGGCGTGGCAGACCAGCAGCAAGGGTACTGTATTGTATTTGTGGCCGAATTAATCCAGAGGACAGTGGATTAATGCAAAATACAGTAAAATAACAATAACAACAAAATGAACTTACAATATGTGGGTCTCCCTGAGGTTTCTTTTGTCCTCGCCGATGCAGGAGGGTCTGTTGGACAGTGAGTGTCTAACAAAAAGGACTGTGGTGATCCAGAACACTTTAACATTCTACAGAATGTGTGACATTTATCAACATGTGTTCTATATTCTTTATGTATTTTAACTGTTGATTCTCTGACCCGTGTTGGTGATTTCAATGGTTCTGTTCAGTCTCTGACCCGTGTTGGTGATTTCAATGGTTCTGTTCAGTCTCTGAGATGATGCTGTTGTGATGTGGGAAATACTAGAATACATTGTAACAGATATTTACAGTCTGCAATTGTCACTGTTCTTCTGTGTGTCGCAGGAGATGGGCCGTCACGACGACCTGTGGTCCCTGTTCTACATGCTGGTGGAGTTCGCTGTGGGACAGTTACCATGGAGAAAGATCAAAGACAAGGTACCAGCGCCCCCTACGGTACACACAGGACACTGCAGGCACTCTCACGGCCTGTTGCGCTGGTCCTACGTAGCCACAGTCGCTCGTACACTCGGCTGTAATCTGCATAGTTTTGAAGATAACGTTGTGATCCCACTCCCAACCACATGATGGCGATCTCACAGGAGTTGCCTGGGACACAGAGCTACTTTCTCCTTTTCAGAACAAAAACAATAGCTCATTACATGTGTATCTAGGTTTCACAGTCCTTGTTGGAAACATGGTTATTATTAAAGTGTATTAAAGTGTATCGGAGAAGCGGCGAGAGTGTATAGCCCTCGCCGCTTCTCCGACCTCTGACTCACTCTTTTGTTCCAGGAGCAAGTGGGGCAGATAAAGGAGCGCTACGACCACCGCATGCTGCTCAAACACATGCCCTCAGAGTTCAACGTGTTCCTGGACCACGTTCAGGCTCTGGACTACTTCACCAAACCAGACTACCAGGTCTGCTCTGCTCTGCTCTGCTCTGCTCTGCTCTGCTCTGCTCTCTCCTCCTCCTCTCCTCTCCACTCTCTCCTCCTCCTCTCTCCTCCTCTCTCCTCCTCTCTCTCCTCCTCTCTCCTCCTCTCTCCTCCTCCTCTCTCCTCCTCTCTCCTCCTCCTCTCTCCTCCTCTCTCTCCTCCTCCTCTCTCCTCCTCTCTCCTCCTCTCCTCCTCCTCCTCCCTCCTCTCTCTCCTCTCTCCTCCTCTCTCCTCCTCCTCTCCTCTCCTCCTCTCTCTCCTCCTCTCTCTCTCTCCTCCTCTCCTCCTCCTCTCTCCTCTCTCTCCTCTCTCTCCCTCTCTCCTCTCTCTCCTCTCTCTCCTCTCTCCTCTCTCCTCTCTCCTCTCTCCTCCTCCTCTCTCCTCTCTCTCCTCTCTCCTCCTCCTCTCTCCTCTCTCTCCTCTCTCTCCTCCTCCTCTCTCCTCTCTCTCCTCTCTCCTCCTCCTCTCTCCTCTCTCCTCTCTACTCTCTCCTCCTCCTCTCTCTCCTCTCTCTCTCTCCTCTCTCCTCTCCTCTCTCTCCTCCTCTCTCTCCTCTCTCCTCCTCCTCTCTCCTCTCCTCTCTCCTCTCTCCTCTCTCCTCTCTCCTCTCTCTCCTCTCTCCTCCTCCTCTCTCCTCTCTCCTCTCTACTCTCTCCTCCTCCTCTCTCTCCTCTCTCCTCTCTCCTCCTCCTCTCACACATGTTGTCGTTGCAGCTGCTGATGTCGGTGTTTGAGAACAGTATGAAGGAGCGGATCATCACGGAGAATGAGCCGTTCGATTGGGAGAAGGGCGGCTGTGACCCCACCATGTCCACCACGGCCACACAGCCGCAGCAGAACACCCGGCCCACGGTCGCCATGGTCGGGTAAGAAACTCATCACACGGTTCTGACACATGCCCAGGCTACAGCACACAGCAGCATCAGGGAGCATGAGCCTGCAGTACCGCGGGGGGCCACTGAGGGCGCACTGCAGACAGGTGTGAGCCTCAACACCATGCACACTGATATTATTATTATTAAACATTGTATTATTTATTAAACAGGAAACAAAAAGACAACATTATATTCAGACATAATAATAGATAATACATAGATAATATATATATCCCTGTGGTCTGACCTCTGACCTCTCCACAGAGCGGTCGTGACCCCAGTCCCTGGAGACCTTCAGAGGGAGAACACAGACGAGGTTCTTCAGGACGAGCACCTGAGCGACCAGGAGAACGCCCCCCCGCCTGCCCCCACGCGTCTCCACGGCGACCACCCCCCCGGCGACCAGCAGCTGGCGGACGGCGGCGAGGGCTGGGAGGACACGGACTTCAACCGCAACCGGCTCCGCATCAGCCTCAACAAGGTCCAGGGGGAGGGGCCTCTGCTTCTGAACGCTTGGACTGGACTCGGTCTGGTTCTGGGTTTGACCCGTGTCTGGTCTGGTCCTCAGGTGGGACAGGATGAGGACCCGGGGGCGGTCCGAGCCGAGTCTCCGAGCGGTCAGTGCCGGTCTCTACGCTACAGGAGAGTGAACAGCCCTGAGTCCGAACGGCTTTCTGCAGCAGAAGGACGAGCTGACGGATACGGGCCGAGGTCAGAGACTGGGCCTGCTTTAGACCTGCTTTAGTCCTGCTTTAGTCCTGCTTTAGACCTGCTTTAGTCCTGCTTTAGTCCTGCTTTAGACCTGCTTTAGACCTACTTTAGACCTGCTTTAGTCCTGCTTTAGTCCTGCTTTAGACCTGCTTTAGACCTGCTTTAGACCTACTTTAGACCTGCTTTAGACCTGCTTTAGTCCTGCTTTAGTCCTGCTTTAGACCTGCTTTAGACCTGCTTTAGTCCTGCTTTAGACCTGCTTTAGACCTGCTTTAGTCCTGCTTTAGTCCTGCTTTAGACCTGCTTTAGACCTGCTTTAGACCTACTTTAGACCTGCTTTAGACCTGCTTTAGACCTGCTTTAGACCTACTTTAGACCTGCTTTAGACCTGCTTTAGACCTGCTTTAGACCTTCTTTAGTCCTGCCTCAGACCTGACCTCTCTCCACAGGTCCCGTATGGACATGCTGGGCTCTCCCTCCCGTCACGTCTACTCCTCGCAGCCCGCTCAGATGCTGTCTCTGGACCCTGGTTGCCGTGGAGACCGTCAGACCAGCGGGCGCCAGGAGGGCTCCGTGGCCTCGGTGGACCAGGAGGCGCACAGCAACGCCTTCATCCGCTCCGTCCCGCTGGCCGAGGAGGAGGACTTCGACAGCAAGGAGTGGGTCATCATCGACAAGGAGACGGAGCTCAGGGACTTCCAGCCCACCACCTCCGGCACCACGGATGACGAGCCCGAGGAACTGCGCCCCCTGGAGGAGACCGAGGAGAGGCGCAGGCTCCGGCAGGCCGCAGGTACCCAGGACTGAGGCTGTAGACCCAGGACTGAGGCTGTAGACCCAGGACTGAGGCTGTAGACCCAGGACTGAGGCTGTAGAAAAGAGAATGTTCCGGTGTTTGACCACTCCCCTCTGTGACCCCTCCCCTCTCTGACCCTGCCCCTCTCTGACCCCTCCCCTCCCTGACCCTGCCCCTCTCTGACCCCTCCCCTCTCTGACCCTGCCCCTCTCTGGTCCCTCCCCTCTCTGACCCCTCCCCTCCCCTCTCTGACCCCTCTCCTCCCCTCTCTGACCCCTCCCCCCCCCTCTCTGACCCCCCTCTCTGACCCTGCCCCTCTCTGACCCCCCCCCCCCTCTTTTCCCCGCCCGTTCTCTGACCCGGCCCCTCTCTGACCCCTCCCCTCTCTGACCCCTCCCCTCTCTGACCCCTCCCCTCTCTAACCCCTCCCCTCTCTAACCTCTCCCCTCTCTGACCCCTCCCCTCTCTGACCCCGCCCCTCTCTGACCCCTCCCCTCTCTAACCCCTCCCCTCTCTAACCTCTCCCCTCTCTGACCCCGACCCTCTCTGACCTCTACCCTCTTTGACTCCGCCCCTCTCTGACCCCGCCCCTCTGTGAGCAGGTTCGGGCGAGCTGGTGGTGCGGCCTAAGACCCACACTCGGGAGAGCAGCCGGATGCTGACGCTGACGGAGGAGGAGGCGTCCCGCAGGAGCACCGGGAGCCCCGCCCAGTCGCCCTGCCACTCTCTGCCTTCGGGACGGCCGCGGCGCCGAGAGTCCGAGCCCATTGGACCACAGCGACCGGTAAGGGACCCAGGCAGCCAATCAGAGCGCGGCGGTTTGACTCTCGTCCTGCGGGAAAGTCAAGCCGACGCAACGACAAAGGGACAAATCCAGAGAATGTGTGACATCACCACAGTGTGACATCACCACATAAGCTGGAGCCAGTTGTTCTGACGCCATTAGCTTCGCTCGGTAACAGAGTCAGACGTGTTGCTAAGGCGGTTGCTAAGGAAAGCTGCAGTGTTCCCTGAGAATGAAGACCTCTGATTGGTCAGTCCTTATATGGCTTATATCTGGATTTTAGACAATATCACATAATAGCGGTAAACCACAGATTTAAGCCCAAAATGGTGATGTCACATAAACGTTAGTGAGTTGACTTTTATATGGAAGTGGGAGGAGCCAAACCTTGTCCATGAGCACTTCCCTTTTGGACTTCACTGAGCTAGCAGGTTAGCATTGTCCATCTGTGTGCAGTCTGTGGGTGTTTCAATGGCGTCGTACAAAGGGGCAGAGTTTAGAGCCATACGGCGGGATTAAATTGAAACAGCATTAACTAGTACCACTATTTAAGAGCAGTAATGAGATTCACAACGTTCTAAATATATAATAATGAGCCACAGGGGGCGCTGTGGAGAGAGCATGATGTTATTGAGTCTCACAAACTGTGACTGGATTTGTCCCTTTGAGATGACATCAGCGGCAGCACCGCCCTGCAGTGTAGCTCCGCCCTCTTCTCCTTATGTGGTCACTTCCTGTTCGATCGGAAAAACAAGATGGCGGCTTTAAAACGACTGTGTCAAACTTTAGGACGAGCCAAAAGATCCAGACAGATTCAGGCGAAGAGAGAGAGAGAGAAAGAGAGGGGGAGAGAGAGAGAGAGAGAGAGAGAGAGAGAGAGCTGAGAGAGAGAGGGAGAGAGAGAGATCTTTAGGTCATGTGATCTTGGACTTGGACAGACATACAGTGCCTTGCGAAAGTATTCAGTAGATCAGAGATGCAGCCAAGAGGCCCATGATCACTCTGGATGAACTGCAGATAACTACAGCTGAGGTGGGAGAGTCTGTCCATAGGACAACAATCAGTCGTGCACTGCACAAATCTGGCCTTTATGAAAGAGTGGCAAGAAGAAAGCCATTTCTCAAAGATATCCATAAAAAGTCTGGTTTAAAGTTTGCCACAAGCCACCTGGGAGACACACCAAACATGTGGAAGAAGGTGCTCTGGTCAGATGAAACCAAAATCAAACTTTTTGGCCACAATGCAAAACGATATGTTTGGCGTAAAAGCAACACAGCTTTGGCGTAAAAGCAACACAACATGGTAGCTCATCACCCTGAACACACCATCCCCACTGTCAAACATGGTGGTGGCAGCATCATGCTTTGGGCCTGCTTTTCTTCAGCAGGGACAGGGAAGATGGCTAAAATTGATGGAAGATGGATGGAGCCAAATACAGGACCATTCTGGAAGAAAACCTGTTGGAGTCTGCAAAAGACCTGAGACTGGGACGGAGATTTATCTTCCAACAGGACAATGATCCAAAACATAAAGCCAAATCTACAATGGAATGGTTCACAAATAGACGTATCCAGGTGTTAGAATGGCCAAGTCAAAGTCCAGACCTGAATCCAATCGAGAATCTGTGGAAAGAGCTGAAGACTGCTGTTCACAAACGCTCTCCATCCAACCTCACTGAGCTCCAGCTGTTTTGCAAGGAAGAATGGGCAAGAATTCCAGTCTCTCGATGTGCAAAACTAATAGAGACATACCCCAAGCGACTTGCAGCTGTAATTGCAGTAAAAGGTGGCGCTACAAAGTATTAGCGCAAAGGGGCCGAATACTATTGCACGCCCCACTTTTCAGTTTTCTATTTGTAAAAAAAGTTTAAATTATCCAATAAATTTCGTTCCACTTCACGATTGTGTCCCACTTGTTGTTGATTCTTGACAAAAAATTTAGTTTTTATATCTTTATGTTTGAAGCCTGAAATGTTGAAAGGTTCAAGGGGGCTGAATACTTTCGCAAGGCACTGTAGTTCAGTTCTTTCTCCGACAGGAGACAGTCTGACCTTCTTCTTCACATGTAAATAGTAAACCAAAGACTACCCACAATGCATTTCATCTGATTAGAAAGATTAAAAGAACAGATGTCAGGACCGTGCTGCTGCTGCTGTCGCTGTTTCAACTCTTTTTCCTCATCGCACTTTTCCTGTTTTCTCTTTTGTTTGTTTTCTCAATTGTGTGTTTGGCCAAAAGTTTGTTGTTAATAATGTGTTAACTGCAAAGAAGTCCAGGAAGTCAGACACTGAACCTCCATATATGGTCGTTGTGATGGGTCCGCCGCCTGCTTAGGAACAATACTATTATATATCTGTAATGTACCATGAAGGGGTTGTTTACAGGACCATGTGTTATTTGCTCTGGGACTAGAGAGAGTCCGGGGTCAGTCACAGCCGCAGTTAACGGTGTCACCTGTGTCTTAAAGCTGCGGTACCTAACTTTCAAAACAGTTTGGTTTGGATTATACGTTTTGTTTCTTCTTCCCGCTGCTTTTTGAGTAACTGCAAATGTTCATAATATTTATAATTTTGTATTATGTAAATGTGACTCAGGGGTATTTATGCACAATGTTGATATTCTTCTTCTGCTGCAGCTGTGGAGTTAGTATTATTATTATTATTATTATTATTATTATTATTAGTGCTCTCTGGTCCCTGTGTCTCTCTGTGGGGGGTCCTCAGTGAGTACCTTTACCATAGACTGTAAATATTAACAGACGTCTGACGATCACAGACATTAATACAATGTCTGTGATCGTCTTTTAATGAAGCCATTTATTGTGTTTTTAAAGAAACAGTTTGTAAACATGTGGCCAACAGTGGTACTGCAGCATTTCCCACTCTCAGGTACCCAGGTACCCTGTCTGGTCCCTTGTGGGTGGGTCATGCTGGTACCCTGTCTGGTCCCTTGTGGGTGGGTCATGCTGGTACCCTGTCTGGTCCCTTGTGGGTGGGTCATGCTGGTACCCTGTCTGGTTTCTTGTGGGTGGGACTTGCTGGTACCCTGTCTGGTTTCTTGTGGGTGGGTCATGCTGGTACCCTGTCTGGTCCCTTGTGGGTGGGTCATGCTGGTACCCTGTCTGGTCCCTTGTGGGTGGGTCATGCTGGTACCCTGTCTGGTTTCTTGTGGGTGGGACTTGCTGGTACCCTGTCTGGTTTCTTGTGGGTGGGACTTGCTGGTACCCTGTCTGGTCCCCCTAGGTGTCCCGTGCCATTAGGCAAGGCAGGCAGCTGCCTGGGCCCCCAAACCGGCAGGGGCCCCCAAACCGGTAGAGGGCCCCCGAAGGCCGACTGATTTGACACAAGCGGTCAACTTGCACAGGCTGCTACAGCTCCTGCAGTGAGTCTGTGGATAAAAAACTTCTCGTCTGATGTAAAACTTGCCACATTCCTCATAAATATTTAAACCCTGCCTGTAGTCTCTGAGGTGCAGTGTGTCATGGAGGTCGAGTCATGGTCAGCGCTAACGCTAACGCTAACGCTAACGCCGCGATGTCCCAAGTTAGACCTGTGTTTGGATTAAACTATATATATTATTTTCTATGACAGATTGCTCAAGAACGGTAAAAGGTAAAAAGCCGTTCTCAGCAGATTAAAGCTAAGAGCCTAATCTTTCATTTGGCCCTCAGTGTTTATATAGACTTTATGAACACCGAGGGCCAAATGAAAGATTAGATTTTGTAGGATTACAAAATCTGGTTATGTGGTTGGTATCGGGCCCCCAAGGACTCTGTTGCCTGGGGCCCCGGGGTTCCCTTGGAACGCCACTGCTGGTGGGTCTTGCTGGTCGTTTGTGGGTGGGTCTTGCTGGTCCCTTGTGGATGGGTCTTGCTGGTCCCTCGTGGGTGGGTCTTGCTGGTACCATGTGGGTGGGTCTTGCTGGTATCATCCTCTCTTTCTCTTTCTTTTTTGTTCCTCATGTTTTTTGCTTGAGTTTCTTTTTCACACTCATGACTTTTCTCGCTCAGTCAGGTCTGGTCCTCCATAACTGCAAACTACAAGCCTGGCTTCCTCCAAACGGTTCACCGCTCCAGGCCGCTCCGGGCCGTTCTGGGCCGCTCTGGGCCGCTCTGGGCCGCTCTGGGCCAATGCCAAAAGGGACTCAAGAACGGTCTATGGTCTTAAAGGTCCACCACATACAGCTACATCAGGGACCAGCGCGAGCAGGGTTCTGTCTCCCCCTGCTCGCTCTGGTCCCTGAGCTTCAGTCAGTCTCTGTGGTGAAGCCGCAGCTGCCCCGGGGCTGACTGATGTGTGCGGCTCACTCTGCACAAAACCTTTGCTGACTTTGATTTCACTGACGCCACGTCTCACATAGAGCTGCAGTAATCCATCTTTATTATTATTATTATTATTATTATTATGTTACTTCATCCTGAGGGCAGTGCGGGCGCAACCAGGAAATGGCTCAGTGAGAAGAAGTCCCACATGGTCATAGTTCCACATGGTCATAATTAAACACGCGCTTCATTGAGCCGATGAGATCAAAGAGTTTTTGTTACATTTTTATTAATTTCTTAATTTGTTTGACTACAATCCAGAAAAAAAAACATTTCAAATGTGAAAGGAGATCCTCTGAGAATATAATAAATATTACTTTCCTCCGGTTCAGACTCAGTCCAATGAGGGTGGTGTCGTCCACAAACTTGATCAGCTTCACGGAGTCGTGGCTGGAGGTGCAGTGGTTGGTGTACAGGGAGAAGAGCAGGGGAGAAAGAACACAGCCCTGTGGGGCTCCTGTATTTATAATCCGAGAGTCCGAGACATTCTTCCCCAGACGCACTCGCTGCTTCCTGTCCGTCAGGAAGTCAGTGATCCACCTGCAGGTGGAATCGGGCACGTTGAGCTGGGAGAGCTTGTCCTGGAGCAGGGATGGCAGGATTGTGTTGAAGGCAGAGCTGAAGTCCACGAACAGGACTCTGGCGTAGGTCCCCGGGGAGTCCAGGTGCTGTAGGATGTG